AATGTGATAATTGTCTAGTTGTGGTACATTCTGAGGAAAGAAGAAAACTACTTGGGAAATATATCCATCTATTATAAGGTGCAATTAGAAATTGCAGAAGATTACTGATTTTATTGAAACCAGGCTTTTACTCTAGGACAAAGAAGATTCAAATACAAAACAAAAAATGCTCAATATGGAATAAGAAAGAAGCTTGCTATATTAAATTGGAGAAATAAGTCTAAATTCATGGTTTACAATTTTAACACTCTATATACATACCTAATAAACAGATACACACAAATATACATATTTCCCAGCTGTGTCCATTAAAAAGGCCTAAAAGCAGGGACATCTCAATAGCAATGAGCACATTCAGCACTAAGATGTTGGTGTTTAAATACTGTTACTACCCTTTGCTAGCAAACTGTCAAAAAGAAAAAATAAAATAAAATAAAAATAAATAAACACAAATAAACACTATTACCCTCTTACAGGAATAGGGTTCCTTAAGAGGTATGGCTCATTCCAGCCCTGGGAGAGGGAAAGTACAAGGTGAACTGAGAACTAAGAGAATGATTAAAGATGAATGGGGTCATCTTTAAAAAAACAAACAAACAAACAAACAAAAAACAAAACAAAAAAACCCAAACCAAAAAACAGGAGCCACTTGAAGGAGCTCTCTCCCTGGTCAAATTTGGATTAATTTCAGCAGCAAAAATGATAGTAATGAATTACAACACAATGCATATCATTTGTTGTAACACTCCATACATCTACAATGATACTAAAAAAGAGAGAAAGTGAGAGAGAAAAGATGAAAGAAAAAATGTCTGCTAATATAAGTAAAAGGAATGAAAAATTTAGGGGAAAAAAATCACTATTTTATAATCCCCAATACAGTAATAGTAATTGATTCAGGCAAGGATCATCGATGGATGCTAAAACTACTGGGTGGAATGCTAGCGAATAGATAATACACGCAGTTTCAAAGTACCACACCACATATCACTTATTAATTACAATGGGAAAAAAATGGAACTTTATCATGGCGAGATCTGGTGGTCACCAGTTTAATTAAGTAACCAAGCATGGCATCACCAACACTGGGCAGCCTGACACTATGAGCCCCCTGATGATGCCGAGGAAGGTACACATGTAGCATTCTTTGTAGAAATGTTTGATCTGGATCTAGTTGTGAGAATGTTGCACATTCTGGTCTTGATTATTCAAAAGATTCAATGGCATGGGGATATAAAGGAGGTAGGGAGAATAGTCCTATATTGGAAACGTAATAGCCAAATGCAAAACATGAGCCTTGACTGGATCCCAGACAAAATAAAACAAAATAAAATATATATAAAACATGTGTGAGACAACTGAGGAAATCTGAAGATGAATGGTATGGCAAATATGATGTTATTAAATAAATGTTAATTTTCTCAGGTGTGGTTGTATAGAATGCCCTTGTTCTTGAGAAATGCCTGCTGTAGCACTTAAAGGTGAAGAGAGAGAGAGAAAGATATTTAGAGGGAGAGACAGAGAGAGAAAGAAAGAAAACACGAGTGTGTACAGGTATGACCAGTTCATGAATCTAGGTAAGGGGTA